GCTAACCAGAAGGCTGGCGGTTCAAACCCACCAGCCACTCCTCGGAAGGAAGGTTGGGCAATCCTACTTCCGTAGTAATACTGCCTCGGAAACCCAAGGAGGGGTCACTATGAGTCGGGGCCGACTCGACGGCAAATAACAACAACAACAACAGCCACTCCTCAGAAGGAAGGTTGGGCAATATAATTCTGTAGTTGATACCACCTCAGAAACCCAAGGAGATGTTGCTATGATTTGGGTCCTGATCGATAGCACATAACAACAACAACAACATGGACTAAATATTCTTAATCTTTATTTAAAATATTTTAAAATGATAAGGTCAGAATCTGAGGAACAATAAGCAAAGGGGGTGTCTTAATTATCTAGTACTGCCATAACAGAGATAGCACAAATGAGTAGCTCTAACAAATGGAACTGATTTCCTTACCATTTAGGAGGTGAGAAGCACCAATACTGACCACCTGCTCTAAGGGAAGGCTTACTTCTTTGCCAACTCTTAGTTCTTTGTCTCTTTTGATCTTCTCTTGGGCAATCTTTCTGAGGCTTGGTGTCTCTCTCTCCCATATCTGCTTCTGGCTTGTTTGTTTAATCTCTTTTATATATCAGAATAGATTGACACAAGATACTCTCTGCACTAATCCTGTCTAATAAACATAACAAAGACAACACTTTCCCAAATAGGATTATAACCAGGAGCATAGAAGTTAGGATTTACAATATGTTTTTTAGAGACACAAGTCAATCCATAGCAAGGGAATGAAGAGAATTTTAAATGACTAATTTATTATAAACCAAATCAAGTCATTTTAATGGATGCACATGTGATCTATTGTCATTTGTTGCTAAAATAAAGTTTGAATATTGGACATTTTTGAAGATGTACTTGAAAAAGCTCTCTCTCTAGATACTCATCTGCTGCAAAGCAGGTTATATAAACAAACTCATAGGTTTTTGGCCAGTTGTTCCTTTCTTTGTAGTGCTTAACAACTTCTTAGTCTGAATAACATTGCTGTTAAGTTCTGTCAAGTCAATTTTCTACTCAGAGAATTCCAGTGAGAGAGTAGAATTTCTTCCTAGGGTTTTCTAGGCTGTAATCCTTAGGGGAACAAATAGACAGATCTTTTCCTGCACAGCTGCTAAGGGGGTTCAAACTGCCAAACTTTCTATTAGCAGCCAACTTAACTCTACAAAAATATCATACTATACTCTGGTTTAATACCATACTCTGCAGTAGATCCAATGTGCATTGAAAACATTATCTTTTAGTTTGTTGTTGTTGTTGTTATGTGCCATCGAGTCGGATCTGACTCATAGCGACCGCTCCTTGGGTTTCTGAGGTGGTATCACTACTGAAGTAGATTGCCCAACCTTCCTTCCGAAGAGTGGCTGATGGGTTTGAACCACCAGCCTTCTGGTAAGCAGTCAAGTGCCTTAGGCTCTATGCTAACAGAGATCCTTATCTTATAGTTTAGCATTATTTTTTCAAACTAGTTACTCCCCAAATTTTATCATATTAAATATATTTTATAGATTCTAAAGGAGATGCATATGATTGTTGTAACATTAGTAATGTTATACTAGTAATTAATTAATAATTAAAGTTTAAACAACAAACCAGTTTTAAGTTACATTTTTTTTTTACATTTTATAAATAATATAAGGGGATTAAAGAAGATCAAGAACACATGTTCTTGCCATACCTTATCCTCTTTACATCTCAAAACTTCAGATATTTCAATCTTTAAAGTTTTAAAAATTGCAATTTTGGGGGGATCTTGGTTAAAGTTTTATGGAAATGTATTTCTTTAAAGCATCTCTCCCAAGTAAAGAGAAATTTTAGGGAATACCTTCTAGCTGGCTTTCTAAAAATGAGAAATGTTTACTTCACTCAAGATGGAGGTCCAATAAGTTTTATAAGTATCACTTCAGCAGTAGTTTACATTTGAGCAATGAAATGTTCTCAAATATAATGATACTTAAAGCTTATTTAAACACACAGATTCTAGCACTTAAACTTCAGACTGTACTTCAGCACGTGCCTATGCTGTTATTGCATGCACCTGCAAA